GGAGTCTCTAACTAGCTGTGGTTACACTTGTGGAGTCTCTAACTAGCTGTGGTTACACTTGTGGAGTCCCTTATGGTTTAGACTGATCTACAGTCAACAGGAAGCAGAAAAGTTGGCCTTTAAGTTGGTGCTTGAGCAGCCAGCAGGAGTTTGCTGTAGCAGACAGAGGGTCTGGACTTTGGGTGTCGGCAAGCTATGGAGGGCGGGACAAGCCATGTGGAGCATCTTCTGTGGTTTGGTTCGGCCTGGCCTCATGATGTCTGTGTGCAAAGGCAGCAGGAGTGGAGACCCTATGCAGTGTCTTGGGGTGGCGTCGGGGGTTGGAGGCTTTGCTCCATGGGCTTGTGGACTGCAAAGATGGGAACCACCAGCCCAAGCATAGACGTGTGAAAGGCATTTTCTTGGATTCCACTTCTGAGAGTCCGGTTCACATGTTCTGAGTTAGACGACGCTGCGCTGGGATCCCTGTAATGTTGAAGTGGAATGGCGTGGGCACGTGTACTTGTCTAATGGTCTCGTGGGCAGTAAAGACCGAACACAGACAGGAGGCTTTTGTGGGAGACCGGATGTGACACTGAGGACTGGAGACAAGGGCACTGACAGCAGAGTGACACGGGACTGAGAGGGTTGACGACGTCAGGGCATAGTTTGAGGTTTCTGGGGGTGATTGTACAGACGGGGGTTTGAAAACTGAGTTGTGGCTGAGGAAGAAGGCGTTTTGGTATTTGGGAAGCAGTTAACGTAACAGCGCTCACTAAATTGATTGTGCAGGGTAAGTGTATGGGGGGGGGGTACAAAGGGCTGAGGACGGAATGAACAGTGTTTGAACAGATGGCAGTGCTAAGTGTCAGTGATATTGTTACCTGCCAAGGAAACTCAGGATAAATTGCCACCTGAGTGACTTGGGATCACTTTGGTAAAGGCAGTCCTGCTGAAGTGATGGGTGTGGAGGCAGACGCTGGCTGGGTCTCAGGGAGTGAACCAGGGCGGGGGTGGGGGGTGGGGTGGGTGGCTCTTAGTGCCGAGTCCTCTCTCCAGCCCTGCATTCACTGTGTATTAGTGACGCCTCGCTGTGCAGGGCAGATGCCAGTGAGTGGTTGGTGGTGAGTGAGGAAGGGGACCGTTGTGCGTAGGCTGAGAGAAGATGTTTACTTAGAAGAAGGGAAAGTGAGGAGAACCGTGGGCACGGGAGACTTACCAGGCACAGCATGCGGTACAGGGACTGGCAGTGGCCAGAGGCAAGGAGCCGTGCATCATGGGAGAAGGAAGGTTAGCCGCAGATGTAGGGGCGTTCACAGCGGAGGGGTTGGTTTCCCTCCCCGCCGAGGACGAGAGAGGAAATGCTGACTGTCTGTCATCACTGTTGATAGGAAAGCTCCCTGTCCAGGGCACAGTCTCCTCCAGTTCCTGCGAGGAAGAACCAACTCCGTGCAGAAGGTAGGTCGTTCACCTGTAGTCTAGAGGCTTTGACTTCTTCTGGTCATCTCCGCCTAAGTACAGCTGTAGGAAGTTGCTGAGTGGTGGGGGAAAGTGCTGTGTGTCCCCCAGTCGCGTCCTGCACAGATCTACAGACACATTTTCTCCAGTTTAACCTGTGTGTTTGCACTTTGGTTTCGTGTTTGTGGCTGTAGGTGTTCATGTGTGTTTTCATCACGTGTAATTTGTCCAGTCACCGTGACGCTCAGCCTTCCGAGTGCACAGCACCCCTTTGTTTGTTATGTAGGCCCTTTCCAGTTGCTGCCTCTGGGCCCAAAAAATGTTTTGTTTTGTTTTGTTTTTTAATCAAAACTCTGATTGTGGGTCTTAGTGATGTTCACTATGATGTGTATTTGTCTATATATTTAAGACACACTGAAATATCTTTCCTAAAATTTCTCTGAGCCTTTATGATGAGCCAGATTGTGTTTTGGTAATTAATCTTTTATTCTTTATCTTTTTTAACTTCTCAATGGGAATTTGCAGAGGAGAAGAAAAATGTGATTCTGGAGCTCTCAGAAATGAGGAAGCAGCTCCGCAGTGAAGAGAGGCGTCTGCAGGGGCGGCTGCAGCACCTGGACAGTGATGACGAGACCCCCCTCAGGTGCGTGCATGCGTCCGTCCGTCCATCTGTCCGTCCGTCCGTCTGTCTCCGTCCATCGGTCTGTGCTGCTGCCTCAGCCTCCTGCCCCTCCTGTACCTTCTGAGAGGGAGCTGTAGAAATCTTGTTCCGTGAGGGAAACAATGACATGGGAGTGGAAAATTCTTAGGTTGGGATGTTTACACATGGTGGTACTTTGTGGCTATTTTTGTGTTTCCCTTCAATAATGTAACTTTTTTTTGTTGGATACATGTTTTCTAGCAAAACATAGCTGCTGTTATTGCTGCAGGGCCCAGCCTCTCTAAAGGAGGCTCCTGTGCTTGGGTTAGTCTTCCGGGAGCCTGCCGATCTGCCGAGCATTTCTGGGCGACTGGACAGCACAGTCTTTCTTTAAAATAAGCTTTCTGTTTGGGGATAATCTGGTAGAAAGGTTGAGAACGTCATACGTAACTAGGTACCTGCCGCCTAGTTGTCTGCATCATTAATATCAGACATTCTGAGCTTCTGTCTGAAGCTGCCAGTTGTGTGGCAGAACTTTTCCTGGGGACACAACACACAGGTCTACTCACCCTAGATAGGGATCCTGTGACAGACCGAGGTACAGACAGCACCAAGGTCAGCTTTTTATTGGGGTGACTCACAGGAGTGTGGGTGAGAGGTCACTTAGAGGACAGAAATGACTCCAAGGACAGCTGCATCTCTAAAGTCCGCCCCAGCATGGGACCGCGCAGCCCAGAGCTGGGAGGAGCCTGGAGCACACTGCAGCCTGCAGACGGCTCAGCAGGTGGAGGGAGAGTCCTCTCCAGGTGCCTCACTTCATCTAAACCTTCCGGGAGCTGCTCTGTCTTTTCTGCCCCTCAGTTTGTGGGAGGGCCTTCTTTGTACCTGGGTTCCCTCATCTGAATTCCAAACCAGCTTGTTTTACATAGTGAGTTCTGGGCCAGCCAGGGGCTCAGAGAGAGGCCCTGTCTCACAGGGGGGGGGGGGGGGGAGCGGGGAGGGAGAAGAGGGGCAGGAGAGAAGAGAGAATGGGGAGGGAGAAGGAAGGGGGTAGGCACACAGTGTCAAAGGAAGCACTGATTGTTACTTGGTTTTTATCCATTTCCTTTGGGCGTATGACACAGCCAACCCCTGGCAGAAAGCTTCCTCCCGAGCTACCCAGACTGTTCATTCCTTGAGTGTGAACAGAGCAGAGTACTGTTGAACTCCTGTAGCTGGCAGGTTGTCGGGGAGTTCTGTAGAGTCCTGGTATAGTTTCCTAGGTATGGAGCAGGCATTAGCAGCCTCTCTGTGTGCAGTTTCTACTTCAGCCTGAGACAAAGTTAAGGTTTCCTGACACCTAATTCATGGCATGTACCGTGCATACTACTTCACATTCCTTTGAATTCTCTTCTTCACAACATGATTAAAATGGACAGATTTTTATAGATATTGGCATTGAAATCACATTGCTAAAAAATAACATGCCTGATCTTTGTTTTTTTGAGACAGGGTCTCATGTAGCTCAAGCTGACATTGAACTCCAGAATGCTAGGATTGCAGGCAGGTGACAGCATGCCCTCCTAAGGTCTTTAGGTTTTATTTTAGCATGGGTGACCAACAGAGCAGGGCCGTTAAAATGTCTGTAATAGCTGTGATGAAAGATGCCCAGGTGCTTTTACAGTGAGGTGCATGGGAACTCGTTTCCTACCCACAAGTCATAGTGACCATGATTGTCGTTTACAGGAAGAGAGAAAGGAACCCCATGGACATATTTGACATGGCCAGGCATCGGGTACAAGCTCCCGTCAGAAGACCGTCCCCGAAGGCCTTGGATGCTGCTACTTTTCAGAATATTCACGACTTCAATGAGCTGAAAGAGAGAGGTGAGCATACGCTGCCCTATTTGCCAGGCTCTAGGTGACATCTTGGGGTCACACAGCAGTTGCTTGCTTTGGGAACTCGCTTGTCATACTGCCAAATGTATGTGAAGCTTTTCATTAAAGACCATCAGTTTTGTGTTCTTTAATTTCATGTCTATTGTAATGTCTTTGACTGAGGTTCTGATTTGCAGTTAAGGTTCTGATTTTCAATTAAGGTCATTGCCTATTTTTTTTTTTTTTTTCTTTTTCAATGCTTGTGATCAAGCTCAGTGTCTTATGAAGTGCAGTATGACTGAGCTTTATCCCCACCAAGGTCCAGAGAGTTTCCCTGCCTCTGCACATGCGCAGCCTTCTCCATTCCGGACACCACCTCAGAGGCATATAATATTAGGACTGATCAACCTGAATGGATGTCCCATTACCTCTCAGAGTTCATGGTTTGCATCAGGGCTTTTGATGTGCATTCTCTCAGCTTGGATAGCTGTATGATGACATATGCTCACCATTGTAACACCATACAGAGTGTCTCACAGCCCTAAAAGTCCTCGGCTAAACCCAGTCACCCTCCCGCCCCTTTACCCCTTTAAGTTCACAGTTTGCCTTATGCAGAGTGTTATAGTCGATGCAGTCGGGATCACCAGAGTCCAGCCTTCTCAGATTGGTGCCCGTCTCTCAGAAACACACTCAGCTGTTCTCAATACCTTTTCATGGCTTGAGAGTTCATTTTAGCCCCCGCCTCCTTTTTTTTCCTCTGAGACAGTCATAGCCGTAGTCCATGCTGGCCTAGAACTCACTGTGTAGCCCAAGTGACCTTGAACTGGTAGCAGTCTTCCTGCTGGAACTACAGGCAGAAGTCTGATTTCCTTTCATTCATTGTTTAATCTGTTCATTTTCTTAAGAACGTCTGGGATGCTTGCTTCCATATTTTACAGTTATAAATGTGTGTACAGATTTTTGTGTCTAAATCTCAGTTGAAAACAAGATTTAACTTAGTTACGTCATTCTTTGCACCAGATTCAGAAACACGAGTGGATCTCAAATTAATGTACCCCGATCCTCCACGAGATCATGACACCTTAGAGATCCAGCAGCAGGCCCTGCTACGGGAGCAGCAGAAGAGACTGAACAGGATAAAAATGCAGGAAAATTTGGGAGGTACGGTGCAGACCCTGCTGCGTCAGGAGCTCACTATGGCCCTTCGTTCTTCAGCTTTGAAGTTGTTGCTTTTGTTTGTACATTTGCTTAAAAAAGATTTATTTTTTATTTTTTTTACACACACACACACATATTTGGGGGGCATATACACATGAGTGCAGGTACCCTCAGAGATCACAAGAGACTGGAATACCTGAAACTGAAGTTAGAGGTAGCTGTGAGCTGAGGTGCCAGGAACCAACTCTGTCCTGTAAGGTCAGGGAGGGTTCCTAACCGCCGAGCCACCCCGTCAGCTTTGGTTTTAAAGACAGTCTTCCGTCTGTATTCTTGGCTGGCCTGGAATCCACTGTGTAGACTAGGCTGGCTGCCTTTGAACTTGGCGTAGTCATCCTGCCTCTGCTTCCTGAGTGCTAGTAGGAAGGGCATGTGCGGCTCTGTGCAGCCTTCAGCCCTAACCATCTCCTGCATTTATTTTGATCCCAGGCAGGCCAGTGCACTGGCAGCTCCGTGCTCATGTTAGCCTTTAGCCATAAAGTTTGGGAAAGGAACATGCTCCGTAGCATGCTCTGATTAGCCCAGGAAGGGTCATGTATCTCCGCTTGGGAGCTCAGCTGTTCACTGTTGCTGGAGTGAGTGGTTGGGTGCTTTGATCAGGCCAGCTGACTTCCACACCAAGAACTGCCAACCAAGACCAGGAATGCTCAGCAAATGCATTCAATCCTGGGGCACATTTCTCTTCAGCATATTAGGTATTTTTTTCATTATTACTTGTGTATGTGTGTGTGTATGTGTATGCACACGTTTTGGTAGAGTAAATTTTTAAAAGTAAAAAGGCGAGTGGTGTGGTACACACCTTTAATCTAAGCAATTGGGAGGCAGAGGCAGGTAGATCTCTGTAAGTTTGAGGCCAGTGTGGTCTACAGAGCGAGTTCTAGCAAGGACTGCTAAGGCTACACAGAGAAACCCTGTCTTGAAAAATAAAAACAGACAAAAATCTATGAAGTATCAGATTTGGGTGTATGTTTTTATATAATTATCTGATTATCTAAATGTTATCTAAATCGAGTCTAATGCTATTAACTTGCCTATGTAGGGTAGAGACTAACCCTACACTAACTTGATATGGTGGGCAGAAGCTAGGCTGCTGTTCTCAAGGGGCTGATGATAACCGTAGAAGTCAGAGGCCGAATAAATACAGTGTGAACACTGTAAAGGGGACCTAAGCCTACAGGACTATGTAACCAGCAGGAGCCCAGGGTAAGTGGGCTAGAAGTAGGGTGGAGTTGTCTCAGAGAGCATCCGTGGGCCCTACTGAGCAAGAGGTGAACATTGTGACTGTACGGGTATCCCACTGGCTCTGCCAGGCTGCAGGCCATTGAGAGAGGCCAAAGGAGAGGAGTCATAAAAGAAGGCCAGGAGAGGTGATCTTACAGGTTATTTTTCGGAAACTTGGGACCCTCTCTTAGCAGGCTGATATGGCTTGCAGAATCTGAGGATGGCCCCTGCCTGGCCTTGGGAGGTATGATAGGAGCACACTTCATAGATAGACTTGGACAAACACTTGTATAGGAGCCATCATCCCTCCTCATGGTGCAGAATTTTAAGTATCAACTGGTGATCCGATCTTGTGGGATGTTATCAGTTTAGGCACAGCCAGACTAACCTCGTCCCCAGATGAGTACAGGTATTTCTTCCTGCCAGTATCCATCTGCCTCGGCAAACACTGGCGAAGTAAGCATAAGAGAGGGCCTGACCATCGACAGTCACAGGGATGAAAGGATGTGGGCCATCGCTGCAGCTCTTCACTCCCAGTACAGCATCTAGAGGGCCCAAGTGGGTGTCTTTGGAAAGCTGCCATGCTGCAGATGCCCTGGGATCCCTGACCCGGGACTGGCTCCCTCAGTTGAACTTACTCCAACCCCTAGTTAACCCAGTCACTGGGCAGGGACTACGGAGCAAGACAGATGGTTTAAAAAAAAAGAAATCTTGTGTTTTTTCTTAGACATCAAAGTTCACAAAGATTTTACTAATGAGCCATTTAACCAGAATGGATACAAGATTTAATGCGAAAGTAGCATCATTTCTAAGACTGTTTTGGTGTGTGATGGGTGAAAAGTAATTCTCAGTAGAAGCTAGAAATAGAAGATCTGAAATGTATTTCTCTTTGTTAACCTTGTCTAAACATCTGCCCTTGTTTCTCTGGTGCCTACAGTTGATTTCGACACCATGTCCAGTGGGAAAGTACAGGGGTACAGAATGGTAAGCAGTCTGCTCCAAGTGTGAAGTTAGATTTTGGAGCCTATGTCTAATGAGTAGTCTAGATGTTGAACATGTCCATAGTGTTAATACTTATGTTTACATTGTAAGTGCAGTGTCTAGAGATGTGTGGCTAAGATGTGCAGAGAGAATTGACTGTAAGGGTAAGAGTACCATCCCAGTGGTCTTAGCTGCTGTCCTGAGCTGTGTGAGTTGGGGGAGATGGGCAGATTATTTAATTTTTATGCCTCAGTTTCCAAGTACTCATTGTGAGGATCACTACAAAGACTCAATATGTGCAAGGTATAGATAGGTTTGACGTATATATTCTGTGTACATCCTACTAAGTAAAAGTGTGTGCACGGTCACTGTGGGCGTTCAGTGAGATAACAAAGAACTGAAAATTCTTTCCAGTAGGGCCTGGCCCATGCTGAATGCAGAGTATAGCTGGCATTGAAAATGGCGGTGGAAATGTATTCGGTAGTGTAGACGTTAACTCTTATCCTGACATTGTACGAAGGCTGCATTCAACAACTCTGTGCTCTGTGGGCCAGAAACTGTTGAGTGTGTTCAGGGTCCAGGGAAAGGGCGCGGGGGAGGGTGGGCACAGGTGAACTTTCGGTTCATAACAACAGCTGAGGAGGAGGCAGCCGTGGGAAACTGGACAGTACCTGCAGGAAGATACTTGAGCAGAGGAGGCTTGAGCAAGGGCGAGTGGGGACAGACGGGCCACCCACACTGCTGGTGACAGATGCCTTGGAGGGGAGGAGTCGCGTCCTCGGTGTCGCAGTTTCTGGCGATCACTGCTGTGTGTGGAGAGTCGAAGACGACAGAGGGATTCCTTTGTGAGTCCAGGCAGCTGTGCTGGCGCAGCCTGAGGCGAGCAGAAGTGCTCTGGGACGGCTTTCCTTTAGCAGCCGATAGGTTAGGCTTGGGAGGTGCAGGAGCAAGTGCGGTCAGTTTGGGGTTGGGAAGACGGCTGTGACACAGCCAGTGTGGATGCATCTAGACAAACGGCTGCACTGGAGAGCTCATGCTGCAGAGTCCAGGGACGCGCCGGGGCTGGAGAGTCCTAGGATGCCGCTAGCCTGCCCCGAGTCCAGACAGTGGAGCTCGGCCGCCTGCCCAGGGCTTCCATCCCGCGCTGCTGTGAGTTTCACCGGATGGCAGTGTCACTAATCTCCTGTGTGCGGCTAAATTTCACAAGATCTACTCATCAGTAAATTATACGTACTAGCTTATTATCGTGCCTGTAGCCATACATCCAACCAGCAAGGCCCCGCTCTGAACCCAGGTGGGCTCCATATCCACCTGCCCCACAGCACATGGCCAGAGGCACTTGGCCTCTTTGGGAAGACTGCATTTGGGACATCTTTCCACGTGTGATAGTTATATTATCTATGCAAAAGATAATAAAGTTTATTATCTGGGATTTTGGTTAAAAGTCTGGATTACTAACAGCAGGTTTGGCTAAGAAGCTTAATATAAGCCAAGAGTTTATTTATCATGACTGTTTAAAAAAAAAAAAAAAAGCACTTGCTTTTCCTAGAAACTAAATTATATAGCATAGCATATAGTGTGAGGCCGCTGCCATTAAAGTAGAATCAGTGGTAGTCAGAGGAGATACAAGTTCAATACATGGAAGAGTTGAATGTACAAAAAGTGTTAACAAGAGCAAGAGAATTCATTGCTTTAATTCATTGCTAGCATGTTGGAGCGGAGTGTAGGCGCCTCCGAACACATGGAGTGGTTATTGTACAGATGTCAATTTCGGTCACTCCATGTCGTTTTCTCCAGTGTGTCATGTTGTGTCTGGGTGGTGGTACTGTGGGTTGTAGTGCTGAGACTGTTGGGTACACAGCAGGATCTCTTCCGCACCTCGCGTGGGACTATAATCTACCCACTCTCAGAACTTATTAACATAGCCCCAGTTCCTAGCACAGGAGAATTAGGAAGCAGGCTACTCAGACTTACTCAAAAGACAGGAGAGCAGAAGTACCACGTGAAAGACTTGGTGCCTCATGTTTGGAATCACTACTTCACTCGCTTTTCATCAGCCACCACCAGAGGGCAGTGAGGAGTTGGTCAATGTCGGCTCCTGACTTGGGGTGAAATGAGGCCTCCTGCTGTCTCCTGTCTTGGGGGGCCTTCTGGATACTGGAATGGGGTTGTTAGGAGGGAAGCGGCCCTCCCTGCCGGCTCTTCTGTTGTTTTTGTTCGGGGTGGGGTGGGTTAGCGTGGAAACCTACGCTATCTCAGTGTGACTTATTTTCCTACTCCAGACTAAAGATACAGCCATTAACATGTGATTATTGTTTTTTTTTTGTGTGTGTGTGTTTAATTTAGCCCAGAGATGACACTAATGACTTTTTGAAAAATTCATTACTGGAATCTGACAGTGCTTTTATTGGTGAGTGTATTTAATTTACCAGTGTTATGTTAATTTAATATATATCCATTTTAGATCTATAATATAGGATTTCACTTTTTAGTCCAAGCTGAACTGGAACTCACTGTGGCCCAGGGTGACCTCAGACTTTGATCTTGTGTCTTGAGTGTTGAGATTATGAGTGTGCACTGCTGTGCCGGGCTGGTACCACCATTTTTGAAAGTAGTTTGCCAACCACACAAAATGCGGAGCAGTCACCGTGACACCTGTCATTAATTCCTCGTTTCTGTCCCAAAGAAACCATGTCCACACAGAGGTGTACACGGATATTCACCAAGCAGTACCATTCAAGAACCACTAGGCAGCAGCAATATTCACCAAGTGGGCCAACAGAGGCAAAATGTGATGTGTCCGTGTACTGAAGTGTGACTCACTCAGCAGTGAGATGCTCCATGAACCTCAGGCACATGCCAAATGAGTCACAAAAGATTGTGTTGTAGAGTTCCAGTCATGTGGAACGTGAGGAAGAGAACGCTGGACCGGCCTGGGGAGTGGTTACCACTGAGCAGAAGGGAGCTATTTGAGGTGATGGACACTCTAGATAGTAATGATTGTACAACTGTAAATTCACCAAAGAAATCGCTGAGTGTTATAGTAAATAGCATTTCCATAAAGCAATGTAAAAAGACATCAGACTTGAGCCTTAGCTCTGAGTAAAATTCCAGGTTTCTTTGTGTGGCCTGTGTAGGTGCTTATGGTGAGACGTATCCTGCCATTGAAGAGGATGCCCTCCCTCCACCGTCACGGCTGCCCTCCGCCAGGGAGCGCAGGAGGAACAAGTTGAAAGGACTGGATTCTGTATGTATGAGCTTC